CTAATAGTCTTGTGTTTGTGTCCAACATAGCAATGACGTCAGCTGAAATATGGATGTTGTACCTACATACTGAGTTTGAAATATCTGGTAGCTAAACCCTTCTGTTATTTGTTTAATTTTATGTCAAGTATATATGTTTTGAATTTTGTAATTAGATAAAAACATTTATAATAAAAAGTACAAGAAATCTTTTATCCTGTTCTTGTGATTTTTTGTTGTTGTTGTTATTATGTTATTTGATTTATGTTCTTATGCAAAATGTCAATGCACCTGATTTTGTCCATACTTTGTTTTGTCATGCACTTTTCATAGTTGGGCATGTATAAAGGCTGATAAAATTTGAGATAAATTGTGTGTTTTATCCTTTTCTCTGTAGATGATATATGGAATATGGACCACAGTTGTGATACCCATTGTTAAAAATGACAAGGGGAAGGCATGTAAATACAGATGAATGTTGTATGAGTCCCTTTTTTGCCTTTTATTATTATATGATATATTGTTAGTATAAAGGAGAACTGATTTGGGGTGAGGCTTTTTGCAGTTGTGCAAAGAATGCAGTTTTGGTATGCTTACAAGTGTGATATCATTGCCCATTAATTCCCTGATATGTTTCACTATTTTACAATTGATTTGGCTGTTGTGTTGGGATTTTGTTTTCTGTTTCCTTTTGAGTAGTTGGAGATCAACATCAAGCTTTTGTTATTTTGGAATGGCTTTTTAATGGTTTTTACATTTTGCCTGTGATCCTCCTCTGGGGTGTCCTTTTGTTCTACCTTTTGTGTGGGGTGAAATAGAGCAGCAGTCCACGTTACCCTACACCGACGGACATCCAGCCAAATCATCGGGAATTTAATGTTGTAATGATTTTCAGGCGTTGAAAGATAAAAAATACTAATTCAGTTGCAAGCTTAAAGATGTCAGTTGAGCCTTCTACTCATGAAGAAATCCAGATTGAAGATGAGGTAGAAGAGATTGATGAGGAGGAAGAGGAAGAGGATGAGGTAGATGAGGACGAGGAAGTAGATGAAGAAGAGGAGGAAGAAGAGGTTGAGGAGGTGACTCATGGTAGGAGCACGGGCAGAGGTCTGACCTTGAAGACTCTTGTGAAGGAGCGGGTCTTACAGCCTGGCGAGGGACTTATGACCATCAACTATCTGGTAAGGTTGTGGTTGGCCCCACCAAGACCATTCACACTAGACCTATGCCCACTCATACCATAAGAGAGAGAGAGAGAGAAAGAGGCGTCCTCACATGGTCAGATTCACTGATGTGTTGCCGGTGATTTGAGTGCACTTGCTAACTTCTGCATCTATTCTTATGTTCCTTGTCTTAACAGGGTTTTTTTCTCTTAACTTGTGAAGAACCTTGTTTTGATGGGTCATTTAGGGCACGTAAAAGCTATCAAGCCACATGCCCCTATGTCAGGGCATTAGAAAGCATGTTCAGTGACCAACTACTCAAAACGAAGCAGTGCAATTGATACCCAATTGTAAATCCCTCACCAACCCGAGATTTTAAAATGCTAAGGGTTGATATGGTTAGTGTTGAGTCCTTACAAGCATTTTGTTTTTCAGGTACCTTTTTATGTGTTTTTAGAAGAGCTAAATTATCTTCTATAAAACAAGCTTCACTTATTGTGATTTTCTTTGAAAGATAGCAGATCCTGACCTAGCTGTCCCGTTAATATGGCTCCTTATATCAGTCTGATCTTACTCTCTTGTTGAAACTGTTGGTGCATTTGTAAATATTATGTAGATGTGCAGTACACCTTTTCCATACTCATTCAGTTGGGTTTGTAATGAATATTGTATACATTTGACATGCACATGTACACAAACACATGCACACAAACGCACAAATAAACAAACACACACAAACAAACACACACAAACAAACACACACACAAACAAACAAACACACAAACACACACACATAAACACACACACACAAACACACACAACACACACACACACACACACACACACACACACACACACAACACACACACACACACACACACACACACACAACACACACACACACACACACACAAAAAGAAATAAAAAGATATACACACATAGATCCATAAGACCTTTGTAAGATCATTAAAATGCATTTTAACAAAAGTTTCGGAATTCATAACTAATATATAATGGGTTAGATAATTATTAATAATTAGTTATTAATTATAATTATTAATTAATAATTATGATTAATAATAATTAGTAAAATAGAAGCAGCGTCATGCACGATGAAAGTAGCATCATGTCTCCTTTTTTAAAATATAATTTTCTCTCGGTAAATACATGCGTACTGTACTTTTTTAGGGTAACAAGTTCAAAGGAGACTTGCTGCCGATGGGAGAATCAAGTCCCAGGAGACGAGCAAGATCTTCGGAACACCAAGTGCGTGGGCCATTTATTGCAAGAAGATAGTCAATCCAGATAAGAAGTCGGGCTGCGGCTGGGCGTCTGTAAGTTGTGATGGATTATTGTATGTCTAGATACCCATGCTAGTGGTAGGTCTGCTCCATCCCGAGTGGATAATTTTGACTGTGGTTGGGGATCTGTAAGCTAGTGTATAGAGGATTGTAATTTTTGGCCTATCCTAGCAGGTGGGTCTCGTTTGTTCAAGGGAGGTATCAGGATTAAATTTTATTGTTTTGTAAATTCTTCTTTCCATTAAGGAGGGCTTGGTTGGATGTGTGTTGGTAAGTTAGCAAAAGGAGTGATTCCACTTTGCTTTCCTATATCCTCTCTGTACTGCATTTCTGCTTTTCTTTCTTCTTTCCTTCTCTTTTTCCCTCCTTGCTATCCTTTCCCTTCTCCCTCCTCTATATTTTTTCCTCCATCCCTTCAGTAATTTCTTTTTCATCCTTCCCTCCATTATTTCCTATTTCCTCTTTCCCTCCTTTATTTCCTTTTTCGTCTTTCCCTCCATTATTTAATTTTTCCTCTTTCCCTCTGTAATTTCCTTTTTCATCCTTCCCTCTCTTTCATTCATTCTCTTCTTTTCCTCCATTATTGCCTTTTCATCTTGTCCTCATTCTTCCTTTCTTGATATGTATTATTTTTTTTCTCATTAATTGCTCTGCAGGTTCGCTACCGAGGGAAGAAGCTAGATTCCTACAAGAACAATTGGTACAGGCAGAAGAGGATTGAATTTGAGAAGGAAGGCGAGGCATTGGGTGAGAAATTTTTACATGTATCTATCTTTGAGTTGAGTATCTGTATTAAAGATGCCCAATTGTTTTCATATTTGTTTAATATCTATTTGATAAAGGGATTAATAAGTTTGTCTTTCCTAACAACCTAACTAGTAATGAAACTTAAACTTGAGTCAGTTTGAATAATGTTATACTGATTCCTTACTGAAGCCTCACTATATCTTTTACTTATTGTATTATAAGTTAGTTAACTGATGTAGAATGTGCATTTGTTTTCACATATTACTGTGACCCCCTTCTTGAACAGTGAAAGTTCTTATCATATTAATGGGATTTATAGTAATTTGTACCTAATGTTTTCCGACTGAACTACACAGTATATGATTCATAATATATGTTGCAAGGTGAAGATGATGTGAAATTTAAAGTGAGGCTAATAAGAATTTATGTAATTTATGATGAATTGCACAGAGGAGATATCTGTAACAAGTTTTAACTAAATTAAGTAAACCAGACTGATGAGTTATTTCCTTTACAGCAAATATAGAGTTTAGTGAAAATACTTTGAATGTAGAGGATGTGAATAATTTTTTGATTTCAACAATTTGGTGGTATATAGAAGATTAAGATTTTATTGATAAGGGACACACATTTTTCAAATTACACATTCAGTTATAATTTCTAATTTTCCATGGAGACTAAGAGGAAATTAGACTGTTTTTTCTGTTTTTTTTTTTAATGTTTCCTATAATTGCTATGCTGGCGGCTATGGTCCTGAATAGGTGTCACATGTCTGGTGATATAAAGTACTCTCACACACACACACAGACACACACACACACACACACACACAACACACACACACACACACACACACACACACACACACCACAACACACACACACAACACACTCTCTCTCTCTCTCCTCTCTCTCTCTCTCTCTCTTCTCTCTCTCTCTCTCTCTCATCTCTCTTCTCTCTCTCTCTCTCTCTCTCTCTCTCTCTCTCTCTCTCTCTATCTCTCTCTCTATCTCTCTCTCTTCTCTCTCTCTTCTCTCTCTCTCTCCCCCCCCCTTGCTTTCCTTGATTCATTTGTTTTCTTGCAGATGAAGAAGAGAGACGGACAGTGACAGCGATGGTCCTCATGAGCAGGAGATTGTCGAGTTTGAGCTCATTGGGAACAGGCATCCGAACCAGTGAGTATTTATTATTATCTCTGTAGTTTTTTATGATTTCTGAAACTGACGTTCAATTTTTTTCAAGGGTGTGGGGGGGATGGGGTGAGTAGCTAGAATATGTGGATAGCTTTTCTTCCCTCCTAAAGATTTTGAAATGTTTGAATATAGGATTTTTGTGAATAAACTTCGTAAGCTTTTTTCATTTATTTATATGTATTTTTTCTTTCCTAGTGACATGAATACAATGGTCGAGCTGACATCCTTCCAATCCATTGGTCGAATGCAGCCTTTTACCGTGACCATGTCTTCATCGGCAATGGCTATGATAGACATTCATGCCCACCTGACTACTTCTGAGGTAGTTGGCTACCTGGCTGGACAGTGGGATGTCACTAACCATAGTAAGTCTTCTGTGTTCTTGGAATGGACTGGAGACATGTATGAAAAGGTTGTTATGGTTGTGGGAACTCGTTCAGGCAAAGCAGTTTTTCAATCAGTTTTACAATGTTTATTTCAGATTTGATTGTTTCTCATGCCATGCCAGTCAGATGTCGTCTGGGTGATGGGGAAAAGGGTCGTGCAGTGGAGCAAGCGCTGTATGCAGAAATGGAGAAATTGAATCTCTCATTAGTTGGATGGTAGGTAGCTTCAGGAATAAGTACTGTTCTTTCCATTTCTTCCTCAGAACAGCTATATTTATGGTGAATTTCATCAGAAGTGTTCAATCTCTGTGATATACAGGGGATCCCTGCTATTCAAAGATATGCTTATAGTGTCAATGTGATGACACGTAGCTTTGGATGGGCCTGTTTCAGCTATTATTAATCAGTGAGTCTGGGAGATATATAAATGAGGATTAACCCTCAGCAGCACCTGGAGGTGCATTGTTGCAGGGGAATCATTCTGCTTGAGTGGCTATAATGTTACAATTTCAGGAATTAGGCCAAGGGAATAATCACTCTGTTGAATTGCAGGGTTGCATTTAGAATTCAACTATTTTTTCTTATCATTAAATTTTGTGCTTATTGCTTTTAGGTACCACAACACATCCATTTTCACCACCATTGCCGAGCTTGCGGGATATTGATTCTCAACTGGAGTATGAGATGAAGATGAAAGGTTCAAATGATGCAAGCTATACACCTTGTATAGGCATTATTGTATGTAAGTACAACTGTTTGCCATCATTATTTGAATATATACTTGTTTATAGATGATGTGCAACATTTGGAATCATATGTTGCATATTCTGTACTCATTTGAGAAATGTTGCGTGAAATAATTTTTAATGGTAGTGAATGTCTTTAAACTCCTTGTTAAATACTAACATGCTCTAAAGATTATCAGGAAAAAACTAAGATAAATAAGTCTTATTTTATTTGACTTTCCATAGCCCCTTATGTACGAGGAGGAGGACAGGGTATGAGTGCAAGTGGCTTCTGGGTGATGCCACCTCCAGAGCACAAGCCGCAAGAATATGGAAGGCCCATGAGTATCCAGTTTACCATTGTACAAGATGCCTTTATTCCCAAGGAGGCTCTCTATCATGTGTATTACATTAATGAATTGAAAATGATGTTATAGTGTGCTTGTGTTTTAAAATGAGAGGCAGAGAGTGAGGGAGTTGGTTAATTATATGTGAGGTTTAGTATTTGTCATCAGTCCCTCACACAAAGAGGTAGATAAATCTTTGATTGGTGTGGGGTCTTTTGTATAGTTGTAAGCATAAGAAGTTGGCGTAAAGATTGTTTATGATCATATACTAGAATGAATAAGTACGTATTGTTATTTTGTGTTATAAATGTATCTGGTATTTCTTTAGAAATTCAACTGTAGATTCATGGAAATTTTGGTTTTGTAGTATTTATTAGGTTGAGATAGTTGAAGAATCATATATTTTCTTTATTCAAAAGGAGGATTTTTCTTTTCTGTACAGCGGACACCGTACGATTCTACAAAGACTCTCCAGATTCTGTCGTTTTCACAGATATTTTCCAAGACAGATTTACATATTGGGACAAAACTGAAGGCAAGTGTGTGGATTTTTCTGTGATAGGCTGGTTTTATGAGCAGCATCGGAGTTCCAATTTTGTTTCTCTTAAAATCTATTCTCCTTTTGCTTCTGTGAAATTTAACAACAGTTATTCTTTTGTTGACAATATAGGGGCACAGTAACTTACTAATGTTGATGAGCTTTATTTTATTTATAATTACGTTTGTAAAGGGGTGTATACATATTATTATGTATAAGGAATATATCCTGTTTCATTAGGTGTGGTCATGTTATTTCACCTCAGGTTTTTTCCAGGTCCGCAAAAGTTATAAGTAGAGTGAAAAAACTGTGTAGTGTGTACCTTATGCATATGACGTTTTTTGAGAATTTATGTTATTTACTGTTTTAGAGTTAAGAGGAAATGTTGAACTTATGTTATACCGACTATAGGGCAAGTCATATGCGAAGTTTGGTGTTTGATTATATCATTTTGACACACAAGAGATAAATGAACACCCAGACCAGTTAACAGCATGTTGAAATATTGAACTAGTAATATTTAAGTAATATTTACTATTGTCTAGTAATATTTAAGATGTAACACACACAAACAAAGGCAACTGTTTTTTAGCTTGTACTAAAGTAATTTTACCAATAGGTATTTTTTAAAAGGGCTAACAAAATTGATTAATGTTTTTCACTTCCCCAGACTGCAATCCGCCTGTGTGTTCCAAAAGACCATTATGCACCGTTGCTTGACTGCTTAGCAAAACTTTTAGAGTTGAAGAATTATGTCCCAGAGCCAGCCACACCAGGACCAAAGCCAAAGCTAGCCTCTGAATCAGAACCAGAGGTCTCAGCCGAAGTGATTCCGGTAGAGTCTCAGCAAACTACAAGTAATTCTGTTTCCATAACCCCAGTGGACAAACCGAGAACCTCTCCAGAGGTTGTTAACAGCATCAGAGTTGTGGATCCTGATGTGCTTATGGAGGCACCAAAGACAGTATCTCCTCCGAGTACCCAGATGCCTGAACCTGTGCATCCTGATGTCTCTGCCTTGGAAGCTCCACCTTCAACGGAGGTGGTGGATGCGTCTGTTGAGAAGGAACGGCTTTTGAATCAGGAACGGCTGTTGAATCAGGAACGGCTGTTGAATCAGG